ACACACACACACACACACACACACACAAAACACAATTAGGCACATCATTTTTAAACTAAAGGAAAGTCAAAGATAAAGTAAAATCCCGAAAATAGTCATTGGAAAAAAGCACCTTACCTATAGAGGAACAAAAGTAAGAATTACAGTGGAACCTCGGTTCCAAAACTTAGTTTTTCCAGAAGGCTGTTTGAGAAGCAATTTGTTCAAAAACTGAATCCATTTTTCCCATTGGAAATCATGTAAATTGAATGATTCAATTTTAATATTTTTATATACAATATAGTCTAAAGTACTATAAATAAACACATTAAAAACAAAAGGACATGAAATGTAAATGAAAATGTAACAAAAAGAAATGAAATGTACATAAAAAACGAAAATTTTTATACACATTTACTTGAATGAATTAAGTTTAAAAGCCGAGGTTCCACCGTATTTCTTTTTTTAAGCTCTATCCTTCTCACAACTTTCATCTTCACTTTGCTGCTATCAATAACCTTTTTAGGGCCTATGGTGACTTACTGTACATATTTAATAATAATAAGCAGCATAAAAAACAAACACAAAAATATTCCTAGCACAAGGTTTAGTGGTAAACTTATTTATACTCACACATTCTCTCCTTTGTATCCTGAGACACATGACTGTTCAGACAGGTATCAGCATGAACGGATTGTCTGGTCTAAAACTGAAGTTTTGTTTGACAACTGAGTTATTTTCCATGAACAACTTGTCAATAACCAAATTGCACGAGATCAGAGACATTGAGAACTTAAGTTTGTGTATCTGACTTCTCAGACACCATGGAAGCAAGAAAAGAGTAGAATGAACTATTTAAAGGGCTGAAGGGAAAACAAATCCAAAAAACCCTACCAACACAGAATTCATATCCTGATAAATCATCCTTCAAAAGTGAGGAGAAATGAAGACCTTTTTTTTTAATTTTCTTGTTGAGAGTATTACAGATTTCCCCCATTTTAGCCTTTGCCCCCTTCCTCCTGTCTCCTGTTTCATCCTAGGCCTTCACCACATTACTGTCTGTGTCTATGGGCTGTGCATACATGCCCATAAATTATTTGGTTAATCTCTTCCTACTCCCTCTTCCCTTCCCTCTGAAATCTGTATCCATGCCTCTGGACCTGTTTTATTCATCAGTTTATTTTGTTCATTAGATTCCACATAGAAGTGAGACCATGTCATATTTGTCTTTCTTTAACTGGCTTATTTTGCTTAGCATAATAATCTCCAGGTCCATCCTTGCTGTCTCAAAGGGGTAAGAGACCCATCTTTTTTGTAGCTGCATAGTATTCCTTTGTGTAAATGTTCCACTCATCTACTGATGGACACTTGGGCTGTTTCCAAATCTTAGCTACTTTAAATAATGCTGCAATGAATATAGGGGTGCACATTTACTTTCTGACTGGTGTTTCAAGAAGTGAGGGAATATTTTGCCACTAGACCTACTTTGCAAGAAATGTTAAACGATGTTTTTTAGAGAGAAGCAAAATGATATAGATCAGAAAATGATACATATCAGACCTACATAAAGGATGGTGAGGAATGAAGACTAAGTAAAGATGAAATAAAAACTTTAATTTTTTTCTTTTTTAAAATTTTACATTTATTATTAAAAGTATTGTAGATGTCCCCCTTTTTCCCATTGACTCCCTCCCAATTAATCTACCAGTCAACACTGTTTAAAATGAAATAACAACAATGTATTCAATTGTGCATTCTTATATATAACATATTTATATACATTATGATATATAATCATGTATGCTTATATACAAGTGAAATGAATGATGGCAATGGTATAAGAGATAGAAGGGAGTAATTAAGATTATATTGTTATTATAAGGTACTCACACTATCCATGAAGGAATATAGTGTTCTTTTAAAGTGGGTTTGGATTATTTGTAAAGGTAATGTAACAGTCTAGGGAAATCAGTAAAAGAATTTTTAAAAAAGTATAACCAACATGTCAAGAGAGGAGATAAAATGCAATTATATAAAATATTTAATTAAAACTGAAAAAGGCAGAAAAACTATAGAAGACAAAAATAGGAATAAAGAATGTGGGCAACAAATAGGAAATAGTAACAGATATGGTAGATATTAATCCAGTTCTCTCAATGATCATTTTGAATATCAGTGGTCTAAATGCAACAATTAAAAAAAGAAATTTTTAGAATAGATCAAAAAATAAGACCCCACTATATGTTGTCTACAAGAAATCTATTTTAAATATAAAAACAGGTATAGATTAAAAGTAACTATATGGAAGAATATAGGCTGTCTCCAGAAAATGTATATACAAACTTTGAATAATATAATGACAGTGTTTATTAAAATACATTTCATTTTCAAAATTGAGCTACCACCTGTTGAAGTGTACATACATTTTGGGGGGAACACCTGTATATACCATGCTTACACTAATCAAAAGAAAGCAGGAGTAGTTATATTCATTTCAGACAGAGCTGACATCAAAGAAGGAAAGTTACCAAAGGTAAATAATGGAATTACATAACAATAGAGGGTCAATTCTCCAAGAAAACATGACAGTCTATAATGTGCAAGTGCCTAACAACAGAATGTCAAGCCATGTGTGACAAAAACTAATAGACTTGCAAAGCGAATTGATGAACACACTATCAGAGTTGGGGATTTCCATACCACTCTATCAGAATTACATAGATCCCTCAAGCAGAAATTCAATAAGGATTGAACTATATCCTGGAAATGGAAGAAAAAACTTAAGCAATGTTAGTAACAAAATATTTTAAAATACTAGATAGATAGTTGGTATTTAATACAACTTAACATTTAATTTCTGCAACTTATAATAAACTAGAGGCCCGGTGCACAAAAATTTGTGCACTCGGGGGGGGGGGGGGGGGGCCCTCAGCCCAGCCTGTGC